CATATATATAGATTGATATAGCCTATATATATATATAGGCCCTATATATACTGCATGCAATTTGTATGAAGCATTAGCATAATTTATATATATATGTATATATATATATATATATATATATATATCCTATATAATAATACTGTATGTAATTTGTATAAAGCATTAGCGCAAGAAGATTTCGAGTTTAGGCCTATCCGTTCACTGAAAGCATACGCAGCGCTTCCGTCTAAACCTGGATGCCTGCAATGTGACCGTATAGGCCTAGGTCTACAAGAAAAGCATATGGTACAATCGTCCATGTCTGTACATACATCTGTTAGACATAGGTACGCCTACATCATATCGATCCACAGTATTTAATGCAGGCCTCAAAATAATGTAATGGTGAAATTTGGATACTATAAACACACGGATGGTACGATACAATATTAAAATAAAATACTTCAATGTACCATATGTATGTTGGTAGATATTGTCAACAACGTGTTGTATTTGTTAAAATTTAAACACAGGTTTGAGCTTATTTTATAAATTAAATTATGCATACTTTGAATATGAAGAGATACTATATTTATGGTTACTATTTTTAGCCATTGACCATGGACTGTCTATAATTATAGAAATATATAAAAAAGCACAACATTGTAAAAAAACATAGTCCTGAGGAGGGTAAGATGGACTTTAAATTTTATATAAATCATCATTAGGGCTAATTCAATTCAATAGGCCTAAATGAAATAGCAAATTCCAATAATAAAAAAATACATTTCTTGTCTATGACGTAACGTAACACGTACCTAAGACGAGATGAGAAAACCCACGTGGGAGGACGGTAGCTTGCTAGAACATGTAGGCCTACCCGCATTTAATCGTAAAATAGTATTTTTGCTTTAAAAAAAAACGGGTTGATCTTTTTTCGTGAATTTCTCGCAAACCAAACACTAAGGTCGATTTTATTTTTTTTCAGTCTGCAAACCCTACAGCTTCTTGGGATGACTGAACTTTTAAGAAGGTTATTGTTATTATTGTTGTACAACATGAGCCGCCCTTTATAACACTCTTCACTAAAACACTATATGAGACTTTACGATCCTACGCAATTGTGCTGGTAGCACAATGTATTCGTTGATATTGCGGAGCAATGAAGATGTCATTATGTTTTTTTTTTATAGAGTATGAAGTTTTTTACTATTCCTCATGTAAGTATTAGATAATGAAACCAAAACAAACAAGAATCATGGTGCCATCTCGCATCCTATGTAGTATCGCGTTTTTTCCTTGCGATATAGGCCTATTTATAATAAAGTTTGGAGGAAACCACAATATCCGCGTTCTAAATATCTATATCATCCCTACCACTTAAGCACCAATTGTTTGTCAGAATAGCATTAACAATTTCTCATAATAATAACAATGATAATAAAAATATTAATAATAATAATAATAATGATAATGATGATGATGAGTAATAATAATAGACCTAGTTGATAACAATAATGGTAATGGTGGTTGTGTAGTGACAACTATGATGAAATATATATATATATATATATATATATATATATATATATAATCTAGGCCTACTTCTTTCACAACAAAAACAAATATATCACCAAGATCATTCATCAGGAACAATAAACATATGCTGTAATGGGCGACATCGTTATTTTGCATCGCAAGTGAAGTATAAAATACCATACAGATTGCATCTATCAGTAGCTTGTCTGAAGTTAACGATGTGCGATTAAAATTTATAATGTTTACTCTGTCAGGGAGAATACACCTTTGCTTGACCGAGTGAGCAGTTTGCAAGCCGGGCCATAGCACAGTGGTGGGGAGGGGGTGGTCGTCTCAGGAACAACCTCACTAACGTCCAGCAAGTCTGGATAGTTTCTCTGGGCCTTGGCGTTGAAACTTCATTCATTCGGAGTCGTGGGGCTCATATATAAAGATATACTCTAAGCCCATTGTCTTTGGTGAAATTTTAATAAAAACATAAGTGAATTCAAATAAAGCATTAAGAGGAATAGGCAGTTTGGTGCCCGTGAACACCACACACCAGTTTAGTGTAACTGTTCAAATTAATTTCCAAGAATGAACCATATCTGATGTATATTTCAATCGCAGCCACCTAAAAGCATACATCCTGAAAAACGCTATTGAGATGCATTATTTCGCCCGTCTTAGATGGGTAAGAATTGCCAGTCATAAGTAGTAGAAGTATGCCCTGCAGTACCATGGCGTGTCGCGCAATAGATTAACGATACAGAAGCAGGGGTGGCGCCAGCAGAGGCGGGGGTCAGGGCTCCCGTCAGGGAGAGCTGGCTCCCCCGTTTGGGGGAAAACCCCATAATTCAATTCAATTCAACAGAACATTTATTTTCTTCCAAAGGCACTTGAAAATACAAAATTGCAAATACAAAAAGTACAAAAATTGGAAGAAGGCCAGGATCCGAGAAATTGTTTGCAAAAACAAACATTTTGTGTTGGGCAGGCCTGAAAAAAAGGGAGAAAAAGCAGCTCAATACATAACAGCACGACGAATTTCAACCACAGAAAAATTTAGTAATTTGAGATTATGTGTTTTTTCAGTTTATTAGAAAAAGCTCTGGCAGAGACAGCATTGGTAATTGAGAATGGTAGGTTGTTCCAAATTCGTCGGGAAGAAAAGAAAATATGTATTTTCTACATATAGTAGGCTCTAAAATCGATTAAATAAGCATTTGAAACCCCTAAATTGTCATATTTTTCGGGGACTTCGCCCTGGACCACTTTCCAATGATTTTGAGCGACGCCCGACCACGTCCACTTTGTTCTTATCGGTGACCTCCCCTCCCAACCCCGTCGGGAAAATCCTGACCACCCCCACCCCTGTACAGCAGCTATGTGATATAAAGTATTTTTCCCAAAAGTATGTAAAATATTGCTAAGAGGTAAACCTACTAGTAAGTACCGTAATGATATTAGTAGTTGTCACATTATGTGACAACATTAGAAAATTAATTTTATCTGTAAATATAATTAAATTAATTTACTGGAACCACGGTTACCGGTGCCACTTGCATTTCATCTCTTCCCCCTGTGAATTTGACCGCCCTTATACGCACTGTAACATTCACATACACTTTTTTTTTTAAAGAACACATTAATTTTATAAGAACACTGAGGCTGAAATAGCTTAAAAATTAAGAACAAAATAAGAAAAAATTGAGGCTGAGGTAAAATATCAAGAGGTTTTTATTTGAATTTTTTGTTTGAAAAGTGTGTAAAAATAAGAACAAATTAAGAACATTTTTAGTCTGAAATCGGCAAAAAAAAAATAACATTGAGCCTGGGCAACATTTTAATTTAAAGAAAGTGTAGTGAATTCATCGCTCTCCTGGCCGAATTTTGGATTTAGGCCCGAGGAGTAGAACTGGGTGCAGACCATTGTGGGATGATAAAAATTTGTAACGCATCATTGATGAGATACTGATTTAGTCTAGTCCATAGGCCTAATACCAAAGTACAGAGATGGTTTTCTCCGTAAGAACCCTCCAGTTGTGTCACGTCTGTACGTGTATCATACATGTACTACTTATAGAATTTTCCCAGATTTAACGGACCTAAAATATTCAGGTTTAGTTATTTAGTCGTGCTACTGTTCTTTTATCGGGTAAAATACCTCGGAATAATTAGGCTATGTAGCAGATACAGTAGGATTTGCTAAGAATAATACACGGCATGGGAGAATGGCGTTCAAAACTCATCGCTAAGCTCATTTCCACATCACTGGCGAAATTATCAAAATCATTTGAAATCGCAAATTAATACGTTGAACCACAGTGGATTATTGACATCTGATATGAAATCAGTGTCCTCCTTAGGTTTTCAATTACGATCATTCATAGCGAGAGACACAGAGCCTCCATTTGTTTTAAATCCGCCTACCAGCCTGCGCCGTTCTCGTGAAATTGTCTTAACTTGGCTAGGCCACAACACTGTATGTAGTAACGGTAAGACACATCAGACAATGCTTGTAAAACACGGTAGCGAAATCCCGGGATTAAAAGCATATTTGACTTGCCTTTCCCTCCGAATTTCTTAATCTGGAGAGGGCTTTGAAAATGAGTCCCCGATGATCGTTCAGAACATGGAACTTTAAATGACGCATTACGATTTTGCAACAAAACACACAGACCTACATGAGCTTCTGTAGTAGTGAGAAATACACAGTTATTAACTATTCTGATCATATCTAAGCAGAATAACATTGACAGTAAAACTTGAATAGTCTGATTCGGTATGGCACAAATCCTTTGTCGACCGGCCCTGTGGCCCAACGGATAAGGCATCTGACTACGAATCAGGGGATTCCAGGTTCGAATCCTGGCAGGGTCGTTAAGTTTTCTTTTTTTTAATCAATTCATTATTACCATCGAAATTCATTACTATTAATATTTAATATTTTATAATAATAAGCTTAACCATAATATAATTAAATAATCTATTTGTATAATGCCCATATCTGCTTCAACAACAATAATACATCATACGAACAATAACAAAAGTAAATGATAAAGGGCAGTAACATAACCACCAAAAGAACAATAATAATAGTAGTAATAATACTGTTATAATGGTGATATTGATAATAATAATAATAATAACTGCAACAACAATGATAATGATAATATCAACAACAACAACAATAATAATAATAATAATAATAATAATAATAATAATAATAATAATAATGTTAATATTAATAATTTTAATAATGATAATAATAATAATAATAATAATAATAATAATGATGATGACTATGATAGTATTGCCGGATCACAGAATGGTGGAGGCCTACTATTGACAGGAGGGCTAAATACGTTCGGATATCCGATACGCTCCCTATATCGATTTGTTCCGAGGGATGTTTACCTACGAACGTGAATCAATGACATGAGGAGGTCACATTGTGTTGGATTCCTTTATTTGATTTATGCAAATAAATTTATTGAATTATCATTAGATTGTTGATGATAAGAACATCATGATATTGTTCATTCATTCATTTATTCATCCATTCATTCTTTTGTTCACTCATTCATTTATTCGTTCATTCATTCATTCATTCATTCATCTGTTTATTTGTCCATTCATTCATTCATACATACATACATACATACATACATACGTACGTACACACATACATACATACATACATACATACATACTTTCATTCATTCATTCATTCATTCGTCCGTCCGTCCGCCGTCCGTCCGTTCATTCTTTCGTTCGTTCATTAATTAATTAATTCATTCGTTCTTCCGTCCGTCCGTCCGTCTGTCCATTCGATCAATTACTCATTCACTCATTAATTCGCCAATTAATATTAATAATAATAATAATATTTATAGGTGTAATCCAGTTATTGTCTATTATTCCATCACAACAATAACAGTTACTATCAATAATAATATTATTATTATTATTCATTCGCCAATTAATATTAATTAATTATTTAATTTATTTATTCATTCATCTTATTCATTCATTCCTACACTTATTTTATATCATATACTATAATAATTATTATTATAATATTTTACTGCTCATACTGATTTGTTCATTAATATTAATTAATTCATTCATTCATTTATTCATTCATCTTATTCATTCATTCATTAATTCCTACACTACAGTTAATATTTTACTACCAGGCCTACTTATACTAAACATACTACTGTGATGAGTATTTCTAATTTTTATTATCATTTTTGCATTTATTATTGTGACTATTTCAGGAGGCGTTGAAGATGTCAGTCAAATTCAATGAGCGATTGGTCCAGGCAAGGTGTCTATGTATTCTGGCTGATATTCACAGGACGAAAAAAGATTTCGAGGTAAACATCCACCAATACTGAATCACAATAAATGATATTGTTAACTTATATTGAACTCAATAATGTGTATTGTTAACGCATAATTAAACGCAAAAAATATATCCCTAACGCGAGCTACTGCAGAAAAATCCATCATTATTTTAAATAGGAATCGGAGTAACCATAACACATGGCTGTTGTGTGTTAACACATGAAAACCCAGATGCAAACAACGTAGAGGGTGTCAATGTATTATTAAGGTAATACAGTAGTTACAAGGAAATGCAACACATAAATCGCTACACCTTTTCGCCGACTTTTGGCGACGCTGATTGTTCGGTTGAATTGCGTTGGGGACAGATACGCAGTATGGTGATTGCAGTGTGTAACAATAAGTGTAGCGATTTTATGAAATTAAGCCTGTTATAATATATTAAAACAGGGGCCTATTATTTTGTACACGCATATTTTTAATTAACTCAAGCTTAGACACACTAACACAAGGCATAGAAATGTAACGCGTTAATGAGGGACACGAGGTTTTGGTGACAGATTGACTGCAAATTTGAAAGACAACAAATATATAAACCGCTACTCAAAATTTGCAGAATATTAGGCAAACGCGTCGTCGCATGGCAACATATCGTCTTTGAGTGCATGCTACGAACCTGTGTTAGAATTGATATTATTAGCGAATTCTTTAGCCCTATGAATAGAGGCAAAACAGTTTCCATTATCGCTTAGCACGGACAGGCAATCAATAAGTTTCAACGAAGAGTCATTCCATGTAGATTAATTAAGAATTCCTACTAAAAGGTCTAGTTGAAATATATGCCTACGGGGGAAGTTATAGGCAGCTTGGAAAGGAACTGGCCACTTCCTATACCACATGTCGAGTCTTGGAATGTAGGAGATAATGGGAAGGGAGAAAAGTGAAGTTTGGGGGCTCGATGATAAAGTGAGGAGAAGCTAGCTCGCAAAACATGGTGATATGAGGTGATTTTAAACTATTTTTAGCGGAATTTCTTTTTGATTCAAACATTTCCAATGGGGTCGACTGGATGGAGCCAGCTTTTTCGAGGGAGTGGATACGCTTATCCCCCACGTTCTACTAAAAAGCTTAGTGTAGCCTATGCACGGGATGTGTCTGGTTATTTTCACATTACATTACCAGAGAACAGTGTAATTTCACTGCTTCCTGACATTACGATTGTCAAGTTTAAGTAGGCTAGTGACATTCAGAGGCAACCTAAACTACACGCACTTGTGACAATTAGATAATAAATCATAGACATTATTAAAATCACTATTAGCTAGTGATGAGATATATGTCACTTAGTCCTTGGTATGAAGATATGGATAACCTTACCCTTGGGCATTATATAAAATCTTGCAAAATCTATCCTTTTCCCTGAGAGAGTAAATTACTAGTTACCACCTATACCCCAATTTTGCTTGATAGGCCCTTGTTTAGTTTAGGTATACGCAACATGAATACAGCTGTATTTGGTAGTTAATGTTTAAATCCTAAGATTAATGTTCAATCCCGCCAAATGAAAAAATAACTTTAATCCAATCTTCTACAATATTGTTTCACATTTGGCAAAACCAAGTTTAAGGCCCAGAAGGACAATGTAACTTCTTGAATTTTCAATTCCAAAAATTAATTCCACTCTCAATTGTGTATGCATTTTGAAAAGGGAGATGTTTTTCCCCCTTTTTTTAAATTCACAAACTCTTCTGAACTCGATCCAATTTATCAGTCCTGCAATGCAACACAGGCATGATATTCATTACGATGTAAATACAGTAGTAAATGTATATTGTAGGATCTGAGAGGATCTCATTAAACTGTTCCCTGATCTCATCAATTCAATTGTTGTCGCAGGCATGAGAGCCACCAGGAGACTTGAGTGATTTCATTACACTTCTATCATCAAAGCAACTGTGAAGGATGACAGTACCGCCGGTGAGATCCACATCTAAAAATTGCCAGTAAACCGTGCGTTCCATCAGTTGGAGGAATTAGTTTTAGCATGGAGATACAACCAGCGAGGATCAAAGGTACATACCTCTTTGTCGCGATCGCAATTATCTTACTATTACGTAACGTACCGTACTTGACAACTGGATCAGCTGAAATCGGCAATCGTGCATACGCCGGTAGCTCTTATGATCATAGCAAACCACGTGAAATCGTGATTTAAATATGGATGAAATGACTAAATAAGCTCGATTTCTATAAAATAGAAGAGGAGTTTGACCATGTAATTCCCAAGGAATTAGAGACGGCATCCTAAACTAATTCCTCCATGGTTCAAGTTCATGGAAGAACGGAGCGTTCCGTTGATATAGTTACTATCATGGTCCCACAAAATGACAACGTGAACCATGAAAAGTTATGTGTTAGTGAGGCGCGTATTCATGATGGTCAGCTGTTCAAATTTATTGACAATCCTTAAAGATTCAATGTTTCTTTTTGATGTTGAGTGCCTTATTATTTTTAAGGGAATGCTCTAAGCAGATGCTAAATAATACAAATTTCAATATATTCAATTTTTAATTAAATAAACTTCTAATAAAATCTTTTTTCTTCCCAAAAGAATTATAATAATTTAAATTTCAATTCAATTTATTCCACTTGTTCACTACATGGTATACAGGTGAAATGAGGGGATATAGGCCAACAAAAATATCACAAAGTATAACAAAATTAACAAAATGAAATAATATAGGCCTAATTACCATAAAGTAAGAAAAGTGACGAAGCCAGAAAAAAAAGTGTTAAAACTTTGAATATAATAGTTAAATAGATGAATGCAGTTAAATAGATGAAAAACGTAAATAATGGAAAATATTATAATAATCATTCACAATTATACAGAATCATAACTTATGTAGATCAAACAAGTATGGACGAAAAAAGATCAGATGAAATGCAAGAAATGTTGCTTACAAGCTGGCTTAAATACATGCATTGATTTTAATTAGTGATATAATTTGGGCCATGTTAAAAACTTATTTTTCCTTAAAAGAGTTATATCTTTAATACTTGTTTTATTATATATTTAATAATAGAAAACGGCCTACCCTATACACATTAACAAAAGACATTGATGTAAGAGCCTTCTTTTCTTTCCTGAAAACATAAGATATACCTATTTAAACATTCTTTATCTTTATCATCAGTAATGGTAATATTGTTATTATAATGAAGCCACAGCTACACGTTCTGCTCTGTATTATCGAAATATACTTGGTAATTTTAAATACATACTGTTTTTTTTTCGTTTCAATTAGGCGTGTTACCCACGGTACGAATCAGCTCTTGGGTTTGCCATCGAGGCTAGCGACAGGCATGCGCAGATTCAGATCATTTCTGGCATGGCAAAAGCGCTTCTACTTGTAAAGAAAACCAGAGAGGTAAGTGTATAACTACCAGAAAATAAAACTCTTAGAGGATATATGTATGTGTGTATATACATCCTTGGCTTCATGTGTACAACATAATTTCATGTATACTTAAAACGACAACGATAACAATAAAATGCTAAAAAGCAATTGTTCATATATAAGGAATAAAATAAATAAAAGAAGTTTTCACAATAGCACGATTCGATAACGATTTATGGTACACGATAAATAATAATAATATAAACAGGCCTTTAGTCTAATAGATAAGTTTCTGTCTCTTATACACATCTAGATGTGTATAAGAGACAGGTATATGATATTTACAATGATATGTTAAAATCCCATAATTGAATTATCATTAAGGAGTTTCGCAAGCTCATGAAAACAATAAAGAATACGGTTTTAGACAACCCTTTCTCTACAATAGCATATCTGTTAAATCGTGGTGATTCATGCCTTTTGCATGAACCAATGACCATATTCACCTACATTTACCTATTCATGTCAAGAATGTTTTAGGCACGAATGACGATAATGATAATGACGTATTCGTTATCATTTTCGTAAGGTTGCAAAATCTCATTATTATTATTATCATCATTATTATTATTATTATTATTATTATTATTATTATTATTATTATTATTATTATTATTATTATTATTATTATTATTATTATGTAACGAGTATTCTGTCAATCATTATTAATTTCAGATGTTCATGCTCCGAAGCCATTGGATACTGATGCAGTTAGACCAGCAGCTCAACGACCCGACGTCGGCGCACGAGCACGCCGTTGAGTTCGACAAATGCATAGACGATATGGAGCTTCGCTGTGCCGTCTGCCAGTCGGTAATGGGCGACAAACTAAACGTGCTCAAAATTTTGGCCTGTAGTCACGTGTGTCACGCTTCGTAAGTCACGTAATTACGTATAATTTAAAACGTGTAAATGACCACAACCTTAATTACGTAATCTGCGTTTTCACGCAATGCTTTTTAATATTATACCATTGCGCTCATAGACCAGTTAGTATTTTACTCTCGTATAAAGTTGTTCAGCCTGTTGGGAATTTAATGTTTAATGATGAGGAAATATTGGATGTCTTTTATATTTTAATATTTAAAAAAAAAACAAGAAACGTATTTTCCTAAAGTAGAAAATTGTCATTATTATACGGGCATCTGTGAGGGGGGCCCAGTCATGGTGGGGTAGAGAGGTGGTTGTCGACTCTCAAGCCAACAGGATTTCCCAGCTAGGCACCTGTGGGACCGAGATAAAATTTTCAGACCAAGTCTGAAATGTTCAGAACCAGGGATAAGCGTGTCAAGCACCGTTCTGTGTGCAGTGTCATTACGCAGTGATGACAGCGTCAGTGGGTTCGATATATGCCTTCACGGTCTGTATATAGACAAATCCATTCAGGGAATTCGCTGTCATTGCTGTGGAATATCATGTCATGTTCATGTATGGTGGTGTGAATTACGATAGCAACAAAGATATTGTACGTAAGCCTACTACAATTCCAATACTGTATTTACATTCGTAGCACAAGATGCGTAAAATTCCCCCACCGGAAGTCCCGCCCATCAATGGCGTCTGCAGAGGAAAATAATCACTCTAAATGAATCGGTCTATTACAGGGGCGGATCCAGAAATGTCCAAAAGTTGGGCCGATTGAGACAACACTGCCCCCGCGAAATGTTTGTGTTCTAGACGCCCGAACATAACATTTGAGGCATTCTGGGCTATCATTTTTTTCTTTTTCTCTCTTTTTTTCTTTTTTTTTCTTCTTTTTTTTACCTCCCAAAAGGGGGGCCGGGGCCGGGCCGCCCCCCCTAAATCCGCCCCTGTATTACGTAAATACAACTTATTATTATTCCACTTTATGCAAAAATTGAAATTCCTCATTTGTAACAGATCGTGGCCAGTTTCAATTACACGAGGGGGGAGGATTAAAACATAAAAAGTTACATTAAAATGCATTCAGCATTTACTATTTAATCAACCACCATCAACATCTTCGTATAAACGGGACTTAGGTCGCCAGAACTGACAGCAGACGCCCTTATATGAAAAATGCACACAATGACTATATCAAAAAATAACAGCAATATACAATGCTAGTGGGTCATGTCCCGTCCCATGTAATTACTTTTTGTTATCTTTAACGAAAACACTGTTTTAAATAGATTCTATTTTTTTTTTAGATGTGTTCAGAAAGCGGACATCCGTAACGGTCACCCATGTCCGAATTGTCGACGACCACACTATGATTCCGATCAGATATTTGTTTGAAGTGAAGCGTACATGACGATTAACCGAGAAGAACTCTATAAGCTGCATGATGGCGCTATATACATCGATAAAGTACAAAAATATTAAAATCAATAGTCTAGGGGCTCCGAACAACCCCCTGCACCCTCCCTGCTTTATACCTGTCATTATTTTTTTCAGTTACCTATATGTATATAAGCTTCAAGAAACACCTTGTTAGTCAAGCGATTTCTGGTTGCTATGCAAACCAACATCAAAAGATGAGTATCCTTTTTGTTCAATAGGCCTATTAGAATTGATATGGGGTGGAGGTAACATTTATGGCCATAACTTTTTACCAACTGAATATATTTTCTTGTTTTTAGTATCAAAGTGTAGAAAAATTAATTTCCTATCATTTGGTTTATACAAAGGCGAAAGTAATTACGTCGTTAATTATGTCACAAAAGGTCAAAAGGTCATCTTCAAAAGATCAACATCGAATTTTACCCAATATATATGTATATATATATATAAACTTTTGATAATAGTTTTACTTTCCTGTTAAAACTAAACATGATGATAAAAGGTAGTTGAAGTAAAACATATGTAAAAATACATATATAAATAAAATTCGGACATCTTAGCTTCAATCACTACAGAGTTATGGCGCGTCTATAGTACTGTATATGCATTCACCATTGGATTTGGATATGAATGAAAAAGCGCTTAACTAGCTTTAAATACCAGCTATGATGCTGAAAACTGTCTGCTATTATATGTTATGGAATACTTATATTTTCAAAATTGTAATACTTAATCAACTAGTAAATATGAACTAACGGAAAATAGGCGTGTAAATTTAATGCATTTATATGATATAGGGTAGGGATAATATTTATGCTCACAACTTTTAGCAACTGAATATATTTTGTTGTTATTAGTAATAAAGTGCAAAATAAAGAACGATGTAACGGCATGCTTTAATTATGTCACATGAGATCAAAAGGTCACCAACCAAATATCAAAATCCAATTTACCCAACATATATTAAAACTCCCGATAATATCTTACTTATCCCGTTAAAACTAAGTTAACACAGACAAAAGTTTGTTAAATTAAAACATATATTAAAACCCATGTATAGATAGAATTTTAAATAAATATATTTTCACAATTGTGGTACATAATTAACTAGAAAATATGAATTAATGAAATAATGGTGGTGCGTCCATTTTATGCTCGAGAAAAAGGCTTAAAAGCTATATAATATGATAATGCTGAAAACAGGGTATCTACACTTCAGTTTTTATAATTATTATATAATTGTCCGATTATATTTATTACATAAATATCTATTTATATTATAGAGTATGTATATACAAACTAAGTTTATAAATTAGCTATATGCAAGCACTATAAATCATTAGAAATAAACTAGATAAATAATAACAATTTAATATATAATAAATACCGTATTATATATGTATTATATATAATATATATTATATATAGTATAATTATAGTACATGTATAGTATAAATACAGTATAGAAAATATAATACACTGCATATGATTTACAGAATAAATATATATACACACATATATATATACATATTCATATATACAGAATATATATACATGTACATACACATATATACATATACAAATATATATACATATATTATATATCGTACCGAAACACACGTGGAACACGTGCAATATATATATATATTATCGGTATATATGTATACGCAAAATATAATATGGAGATGTTTAAAAGTAGTCAAGTTCTCATGAATGTTATTTCGTTTTTAATATACTTATATATTGAAGGATACGTGCACAGGATATCATTTGATCATCAACATCTTATATATTATATAGAACTTTGTTTTTTTTACCTCATGTGACATAATTAACGATGTAATTACATTGTCCTTTATACCAAATTATAGGAAATGTAGTATTATAATACACTTTGAACAAGAAAATATATTTAGTTGGAAAAATGTGGGCATAAATGTTACCGCCACCCCATATCAATTCTAATAGGCCTATTGAACAAAAAAGATAACCAACATCGAAAGATGTTTACAAAAACGGGTACCCCGGTACCTATCTTTGAAGTCCGTTTACAACAGACACTGGCAACCAGCAATCGCTTGACGAGGCATTTCTTGAAGCTTAGGTAACTAAAAAAATGACCGGTATAAAGCAGGGGATGTACCTTTTCGGTTCCTGGCCCTGGACTACAACCACTAATGCAAGGACTTCTCGCATGCCGACTGGTTATCTGGTGTATTTATTCACAACAGTCAATAAAATATTGGAATGAATGCAACTTTGCATACGAATTTATTTTGGGAAACCTAAACTTCTCCCTCCAATTAAAGACCCCTCCAATTAAGGAGCTGTAATTAGAGACCACTATTCCAACATAGCAATTGCCTTTATTATGCTAATTAGAGACCAAATCTGTTTGACCCGGTCCCAAAAATGCAATTGAGAGTAGTAAATGTTATAGTAGCCGGATTAATCCGCATCATGAATACAATTCTCGCCTGAAATTTACCGCTGTTTTTAGTTGAGAGCCTGCAAAGGGTTGTGTTGTGTTGGACCAAGCAGACGAAACAATTGAAGCAGGACACCAAAATTACATCAAAATATTTTAATAAAACTAGATAAAAAGGCCTAAACTAATAGTATAACAGATTTATAAGACGTTATTTAGTACTTTATTTGTAGCCTATTGCGATTAAAAAGACAGCTTATATATTTTCGTTACTGCTAGTAGAAATTCGACGCTCACACGACCTGGCTGTCCGTGTTCCGTGCTTTCGTAGCAGTCTTTTTCGGCAACAGCACAGACTGTATATTCGGCAACACACCGCCCTATAAAAAGAGATTTTAAAATATTTAATGTTCACACTAATCAAAGCTCATTTGAATACTGCTCACGTTCAAAACGTGGTTAAGTACCGTACCTGTGCAATAGTGACATCGGATAGAAGCCTATTCAACTCTTCGTCGTTGCGAATGGCTAGCTGGATATGTCTCGGTACAATACGGCTTTTCTTGTTGTCGCGTGCTGCATTGCCCGCCAGCTCGAGAATCTCAGCAGATAGATATTCCAATATGGCCGCCATATATACAGAGGCTCCACTGCCGATACGTTGGCTAAATTTTCCTGAAAATATACAAAAATATATAAGATTTTGGGCCAAAGATTTTTCTGAACGTTCAACTCCCTGCCTAGGATAGAGTTCTTTTGGAACAAGACCAGTTGCATACCTTTCCTGAGATACCTAGCAATTCTTCCTACGGGAAACTGAAGACCAGCCTTCTGGCTTCTGCTGACGCTCTTGACGGATTTTGCTTTAGCGCCTTTCCCTCGGCCAGACATGTTCTGAAATCAATTTGTACTGGTATTGATATTAGGTATAGAATGCGTAGTGCTTTCAATGCTGCCGCTGTGTTAAATACGATAAATGACGTCTGTACGTTGTATTTATACGAAAGAACGATCCAACTATGCATACAGGTGTACGATTCCAGAAGTAGGCAGAAATTTCATTGGCTTGTGGCAGTATGCATATGTTTACCTTTGCTTTTGATTGGCCAGTTGCTGAGGAGGCGTACTCATTGGTAGCATTTATATACGGAGAATGTGTCCAGTCAGCATTTGCTGCTACACAATTAGTTTTGGAAGGTTGTTTATTTGCAATTTAACATCGCAATAATGTCCGGACGCGGTAAAGGAGGCAAAGGGCTTGGAAAAGGAGGCGCTAAGCGTCACCGTAAGGTGTTGCGTGATAACATCCAGGGCATCACCAAGCCAGCTATTCGTCGTTTAGCAAGACGAGGTGGTGTGAAGCGTATTTCCGGTCTGATCTACGAAGAAACCAGAGGAGTTCTAAAGGTAAATATACCTAGACACCAATAAACAATATTCGGTAGACATTACAATATATTGAGGACCCTACTATGTCTTTAAATTGATTTTTTGCAGGTGTTTCTGGAAAACGTAATCAGAGATGCAGTCACCTACACAGAACATGCCAAACGCAAGACCGTCACCGCTATGGATGTAGTATACGCCTTGAAGCGCCAAGGAAGAACCCTATATGGATTCGGCGGTTGATTGTATCGGACTAAAAATTATGAATTTGTAAATTGTAAATAAACGTAATCCTACGCTTGCTTTCGGATTTGAATGTGTTTTATTTTACATTAAATGGAGGAAATCTACTCGGTTGTAGTTGTATACTTGTGTATATTTGGGGCCTGGGCGCTAGCTGGCAAAATAAGGTGCAAGCTCTACGCTTTATAGTTTTACAATTGGTAAATATAAGTAGCTTACTCCTTTGGTCCACGGTGGAGACTGGGGAGCTTCTTTGTAGGTGCCCTAAACCTAATAATACTAATAGGCCTATATGCAAAATTCAAAATAATTATTACTCGTCGAAACCTAATTCGTTTAGGCATCCAGTTTTACTCGGCGTAGATCCTCTCATTAACTAAAAAATAAACCAAACATAACCGCCAAAATGCATCGATGCCAGTCTTTTATTACACGGACTACTACATTATATTATATACACGATATACTATGTAAATCAATACTCATCGTAAATTTCTATTATATACATGATATACTATGTAAACCAATAAGCCTACAGCGAGTACGCTAAGTAGTTCCGTGCCTTAATCCTTTGGAATAAATGCTTAAGTTAAAATCTACACCAGACTTTGGAATAACTGTGTTTGAAGCATTATTTCCATAAATTCTTTAGCAGTGATCCTCGAATTTCCAGTCTGGTCGGCTTCTTGTAACATCTCCCTAATGGCCCTGTCATTCAGATTCAGACCACATTCTTGTGAAGCCCTCTTGATGTCATTGTAAGTAATGAATCCCTGCTTATCTGTGGAGAAACAAACAGGAACGACTTATTACAATGAATGTAATAAACTTCATTATGTTATTTCTCACTCTCGGCATTATAATATGCGAGAGCGCCCCCTGCAAGAGCATAGCACTGTTTTTCGTGACGAGTAACCCGACTGTTTTGTTCGTATTTTTTTACCACAGCCGTTTTGGGTGACATTAGAGAAGAAATCGATTATTTATTATTAATTATAGATACTACTGACCTAGGATAGGCTATTAGACTTATCCTGGGTATTTCTAGGTAGGACCAAAACGTATAGCTACTTATATAGGCCTACTTCGAGCCAAATGTAATTCTGATATGAAATGACATTATAATGAAGATATTACACCAGACAGTTACATATTTTCAGTGAATAGTTAGAGCGTAGCTTCATTTGATATGGAAGATGACGCATCTCATTCGATTTGATGTGCATGTGTTATGAAATTTTCAGTTGAACATAGTGTGAAGAAACACATCGAATCGCAAAACAAAGAATAGGCCTACTAGTTATATGGAAGTTTATGCAGAAAGGGAACTCTCTGTATAACAACATACTCCATGTAAACTGATGCAAAAGTTTTCATTTCACTCACCTCTATCAATTAACGTGAAACCCTAAAAAATAAACAAGATAAAATATTAACTTGGTTGTTGCCACTGTTCCTGATGCCGATGTTGCTTCAAATGCTGTTATTTGTGCTAGTAATGTTATGTGACGAGTATTAAACTAGCGAATCTGATTATATTATATTTGTGAGAATTATTGTTAATATTTATTATATAAATTAACATAACAATATGGCTTAGTTACTCTAAAATGTCGTACAGATTTGTTATCAATTACGAAATCATCAACAATGTATTTTGCAACGGTTGCCAACATGCTTAGTATACGGTACGCATCCTTTTAATCGCGTATTTCAATGATGGTAGAATGACATACGGTAATACTAGTTTACCTGCATTAGCTCTTCGTGTATATCCCTGCTTTCTCCTTGATAATGCACAACTAGTTCGAGGAACTCTTCAAAGTTAATGCACCTACCAAAAATAATCAATCATAAATACATAACTTCATAATCTGTATCATAAATATAACAATGACAATTTAGTTAATAGTTGACACCGTACAGCAAAAACGAGTGCACGACCACATTACCTTGTTCCGTCACGTCCCATATCAATCAGCGCATCCTCTATTTTTCTCATTTTTATCTTAAACCCGAGTACACGCATGGCTCTGTATAAATCGTTGGCCTCGATCAGCCTGGTAAGAGGCAAACATCGAGTAGTTATTGATGCATATAAGTAAAATAGTATCGCTTTACTGTCATGTGCTTTCCGCAGTGGTATCATCATCATTATCATCCTTCTCATCATCAACAACATTATCATCAACATCATCATCACCATCCTCATCAGCATGTCATCAACATTTATCATCCTTCATAATCAACCACCCCACTGTAGTTTAAGAAGTGTGTTTATAGCATGATGTTCGATCAAAGCACCATAGAAATACTCATAATCACCATAACCAATCAATACCGTCATCATCGTTAAATTATGAAAATTATTAAATCGTCATCATCGTCAATTTAAATAATAGTTCACAGTGCTGTCTTGACCGTGGCAATCAGACAGGTGCTACACAAGCCCCGACCGTGCACTTGCAAATCTTGTTCAATATATGCAAATTAGGAATTGCATTGGCAAATTGTGTAATTTACGTAATTTTGGGAGTTAGCGGCACTGAATATACGAAACGGAAATAGTAATGCGGAAGCTGATTAGAGGAATATAGAGACGAACTAACAAGGACTACCGTCAACTACAGTAAGAATAGTTAGTGTAATCAGAAATGCTTATTGTGTGTTTAATGTAAACCAAAAACACACAAAGAGACGCTATCTATGAGACCTACCTTGTCAGCAACTGGGACATACAATTATAAACTAGCGCAATGGTTAGATGAGAAGTTAAAACCACTCTCCCAGAACAAGTACACAATTGATAACGTGTTTAGCTTTGCTAGTGATATTCGCTCTACTGATATCAACGTCGATGACATATTAGTATCATATGATGTTTCCTCCTTATTTACAAATGTTCCATTGGATGAGACAATTCAAATTATTGCTGATAAATCCTTCACTGACAACTGGTTTAATGTCACATATTATGGACTCAACTTAAGTAAACCGGACCTCATTACTCTTCTTAATATTGCAACTAAAGACCAACTTTTTCAATTTCAAAGTAACTTGTATGAACAGATCGATTGAGTAGCAATGGGATCACCCTTAGGTCCACTTATGGCAAATGCATTCATGTGCAATATAGAGGAACGCCTTGAATCTAGCAATCAAATGCCGAAATATTACAAGCGATACGTTGATGATACTCTAATATTTATGCTTAACACAGAATCTGCCATGCAATTTCTTGACTTGCTCAACAACATTCATCCTGCCATAAACTTCACTATGGAAACTGCTGTGAACAATTCTTTCCTTTCCTAGGAATGCTAATTACTAAGTACTCAACAAGTTACACACACGCATTTATAGAAAGCCATCAGACACAGGATTACTTCTACAATATAGAAGCCATGTAGACAACAATAAGCACAAGAAGACACTTTTAAAGTTATGTCGGATACACAAACCGACACCTCTACCAACGTATTGCTGAACATAAAAGATTTCTGTTAGGACAACATGCTAAGGACCATCATATCAGCCCACGCAGTATTGAGTCATGTTTCAGCATTTTAAAGAAATGTAGGAACAAATTTGACTGTCTCATTCATGAAATGCTATTTATTAGACAATTAAAACCCAGTATGAATAAACAATGTGACTGTGTCAAAGCAAAGCTTTTTATCTAACACAGGGATTAATATCCCACTGTATATGAACTTTGACATTGTAGATTAGCTTTTTTCTATTGATTATAGTTGCTGTATATTTTTTACTTCATTTGATCTTGAAAATGACACCATGAAGGAGTCGAAACGTCGATCTTTTCTTTTTAGCGTTATTCTTATATTAAATATTTATACAAAACATACTCTTATTATTAATGTAAGCATTAATTAAAAATATGATTATACTGTATTGGTTAAATGCGAAGCTAGTATATACATTTATTGATGTTTATAAGTTAGGGACTTTTCATTTTTATCATTATTATTCTAATCTTTAATAGGCCAAATATCATATTGCCATCATAATTATTATAGTCATTTTCACCAACACCATCACCGAGATAATTGTAACCATGATGAGGTATATCAGCAACCTCCGCATTCAGGGACGGAAACCCTGTCCACTTTTTTTGGAAAGTAAAGAAAAAAGAAAAACAAAGGAAATAATTGATCGCCCAAAACGCCTCAAAGGTTATTTTCTGGCGTCTAGAAAACAAAAATTCCGCGGGGGCATGCCCTTGGATCCCACTAGGGTAGTATTGTCTTAATCGGTCACCCCCCACCCACATCATTATCATTATCACCATCATCATCATCATCATCATCAACCTCATTATAATCATCATCATCCTCATTATCGTTATAAATAGTAATGCCCCTGACAATGTGATTGTCATAATTCATTATTATCCAAGTGTGTTAGGCCTACAGTATTATCATATTACTTTTGATTGTATTATTTCAAACATGCATTATATTCCTATAATTAATCTCAAGTGTATTGTCGTAAGATGTGTTTTACCTGCGGTCTTTACTGGTGAATGTATCGAAAACAAACCTAAGATCTCGTATTTCTTGTTGTGTAAGTTGTGCACGAATTATTGAAGAGTTTGTAACGTTCGTTTTAGGTTCGCGTTCCAAATCCAGAAAAGCTTGAGTCGCTGTACGAATTGCGTCAGATGATGACGAATTAGAACTCAGTACTCGAGAACCAATTCGGGAACTTTGAGGAGTCTCACTGAAATTTCTGATTTCTTGACTACTCTCTGCCATACTACAAAGAAAATACAACATAAATGCGTACTAAACGGTTTTTAGATGAGGCTATCTTTTATCTAACGTAGTCGATCGTTCTCCAGATTTACGAAGTTGCATTATCGTTAAACTGACATGCATTTCATATCCTTGTTTTCCAATATTGTTATGTATTGTCATTTGAAAGAGACGTTAATCCGTTGTAGCCATCAGCCAACATGGTTCATTGTGCAAGTGACTGAGTGTAAGAACGCATGAAAATGGGTTATTTTTATGTTAGAGAAAGTTTTCCAATATTGTTAAGAAGCTTTTAATATTGGTCATGGTATTTATGTGTTCTTTTAAAAATATTAGGCCTACTCGGTGTTTGAAAATGTGGTAACATTATAATGTGTATGCACAAAACAAACAAGATACGTTGTATGAAGTGTATAATCATGCCACTAGCTAAAAATATAATTAACCAAAATACACCATTAATCATCATATATTATTTCGCAACACAATTATTGATTGGTAGGCCTATATAAATGCGTTTTCAAAAGCTATAGGTCTATAATTATAAATAGCGGTCAGTGACAGGCTTACATTTTCATCGAGCCGATACCCCTGTCATGGGAAGTTTGCTAGAATGTGTATGCAATTACGATATTGAAATACAATGGATTGTATTTATTAGAATAGAAGTGTGTCTGTTACTCAGCTAAATAATAGGTAGGCCTACAACTTACCTTTCCCTTGCGAGTACCTGCTCAATGCACCAGATTCACGCGTCTTGTCAGTTAATTTTAAATGGGCCTAGGCTACGGTATGTTATGAAGAATGATGGGCGAACGGACGAGTGTTGGTATCAAATGCATTATCATTCATTCAATTATGCATTCAACTTTATACAGTCGTGTTCGTCGCCAGAATTAGCAGCATGAATGTTGAGTCAATACTTAGTATCTTAGTAACGTTCCTGCAGCCCGATCCTCCCCAAGGATATAGCGGCAGTCTTGTTTAACTTGTGTATTGATATAAGCACCTTAAACCAACTTATCTAGTTTCAATCCTCTCTTATTATAACTCGGGTGGAACGATTCATCGATATGTAAACATTTGTTCGTGACCGATTTCTAAAACGTCTTATTCGGCATCTACTTCACGACAGTTCTCATGGTTATATCTGAGCGCTAAGCTTTGCATCTGTCCTTGTCTTAGGTTAACCGTGTTTGCAGAGGTTCGGTGCAAACACTCAGATTCCCATCAAATAAACTTTGAATTGAGATTCATAACGAATGATATTTACATTCGGGGTATAGGCCTCCATACGTGAGCGACTCTGTTACTTCGCGACTCCGTGGAATATAGTAAGAAAATGTTGCTCATATTATAACATAACGGTACGATACCGTATCAATACCAGTGCTCAACATATTAATTGTGTTGTTTTGTGATCTTTTGGGCCCCACCTTCCACCTGGAAGTGTTACCACTGAATAAAAGTGAGTTTCCGAATAAATTATATATTAAACTCTATAAATATTTTGTTTTATTGCACCTCTGGTGGGAAAAACAAACCCTGACTACTTACCTCCGCTGACACCTGGTAATTCTTATGTCGAAAAATACAACAAAGATACAGTACTGACAGAGAGGCCTATCTTTTAAACGAAAACAAAACTATGAGGGTTTTGGAAATTTTTAGAAGGAAAAATATGTATGGTTATATTATTGTGTCATATTAACACGTGATTTACAGCTATTCCAGCGAGTAATGCGTTATTATATGAACGTCTAGGACTGGCCTACGTATTTATAACGTAGGTTCACAATTAAAATAACGTTACTGCGACGCCATTTTCTGACATACCTAACCACAAGGCTCGTGAACGTTATAGGCCTAATAACATTCTGGGCCCAGATTCCACTAGAATTTAGAGGAACCGAAAAAGAAAGTACCGGTAAGCGATCGCTTAGACTGAGTCTAACATTGATGAACGTACAGTGCATGTAGGCCTATAGAAGTCTATTCCGGAAATACTGTCACAAAATAAAACGTACATCATTTTTTACATGTCCCTTATCATGTAGTCTTCTTACCTGATGAATTTTCCACGTTAAAAAAATCGCCGAAAAAGTATAAGTGTGTGTCCGCTTTTATTTCTTTCGTAATTAAAACTGATGGCAATAAACTAGACAAGTCTCAAATAACAGTGGAAAGAAACTAAACACTCGGTAACTATGAGAACGCAACAATCATACCGTACTGTATGAATATTTTCCAAGCAAAATCTACACTACCGCAGGCAGACGTATTTAACGTGGAATCAGTTTAATAGCGATTCTATTTTGAATCACGGCAATTCATCGAAGGTATTGAAATACATGGCACCTGTTAGCACTACAATAATTTGTTGTGTACAAAATGCAGAATGTAAAATCGTGTTTTGCCTGATATAAAATATGTCCTTTTCAACAAAACAAATAGGCCAAGAAAAAATTGTGCGCAATATTAGGTGCAGATGAACACTCAAAATGGTTCAATTTCTCAATATATATTTTATTAAGGCCCAATATATTCATTTTCGTTCTAAGTACTGTAGCTAAATGAAATGAAATTAAGATTAGTTTTACATTTATAAAGATATAAGCCTAAGTTATACTTATAATTTCAGCTTATATTGGCAATATCGATTTCACATTTTGTTTTCTATTTTTATAGGCCTATTCTTCATTTTACAAATGCTTTGACAAAATAATCTAGTCATAGCATTATTTAATACATATTTAACATTATAAAACAAATAACAAAATACAGACGTAATCATAATCAAAACACAAACAACATCATATATTCATCAGGGAACCATTTTATCATTTGGGGTTTTATCAGTTCACACACCCAACTCATAAACATCCATGGCCTTAATGTGGTTTTCAGAAAAACATTGTGATAATTATATAGGCTTACATACTTAAATAATATTTTAGCTATTATCAAAACAGTAATTTTGTGATATAATACTGTATTATAAAGAATAGCACCTTCCACAAAATTAAATGGAGACAGTTAAAACTAAATACAACATATAAACATAATGATGGTTTTTAATACTGAAAAGTGTAATCGACTTCGAATGCAAAAATAAAACCAATTACTTAATATTTACAATAAAATGTACATTTTTGTCCATATTTTAAACATCTGAAAATATAGAATTTTTTTTTTCTAAAAATTGTTTTTGGTCGACATGATTAACAGTTGCTCTGGGTGAGTACCTTGGGGGATACGAAGGAAAGATACACATTATAGAGGGGGAGGCATTTGCAAAAGTCTGGATGAATGTGCTAATCAGACGATAAAACAAGTATATCGTATAGAAATACAATTCAACATTGTCTTGCTGACAATTTTTCAATTTTGATACCCTGCTTTAGACCTAGGCCTATGTGCTAAAATTTCCATGCCCTATGAGTTTGCATTCCGTTCTGTTACACATTTGATTTGAGTATTTTTTTAGCACCTTGATAACGTCTGGGTAGAGTCTCACCGCGGCATCCATGCCCCAAATGAAGTCCATATGATCGTAGTCCTTTATTTTGAGGTTTCGTACTACATTCTTAAGTTTTGGTATTAGATTGCTTACATCAGTAGGATCTGCAAGCCAGTCTTCGCCGCCGGAATAAAGAGCGACCGGAACATTCATTTTGTCCACAGAATATGGAGGCGGTGTTGTCTAAACAGGTTGAGGATTAATACGAAAAAAACCTCATTATATATTTAAATTATTGAATATTAGAAGTGTAAAGCGAAAATGTACTCTAATGTTGTTATCATTTTGTTAGTTTATCTTTGTTGAATTTTAACAACTTGTCAAATTTAAAACAACATTGTAGAACATTGCTATTATAACATTGTATTACCTGGTTGTATTTCTTCATGTTTCCAAGTCTTCCATAGTCATACATCTGAAATTTCCCTTCATGCACCATCTAACAATGTAATATTTTTTAAACAATTATTTTTTATTGTACATCAAACTGTGTAAACACAAGTAAGAGGATGAACATAAAACTTAGACATAATCAATTAAATAAATAATAGAAATATGTATTTATAAGCAAATATATAATGATTAAAAACTCTTTTTGTATAATTCGGTATGTAATGAATTTGTTTTTATTAACTAAACATAAACAATGAAGTCTTGATATTTAATTAGGACAGGGCTTCGGATATTAGGCCTATATGAAATTTATCGAATTCATATTTATATCAAACCTTAAATCATTATAATTTGGTATTGTTATTCTGTTACTTTGACTATGTTATTTTGTTCACTTTGCTTTTACATAAATTATGCTTTTCTATAATTGTATACCGTAATATTATTTAGGCCCTTTAGGTCGATAAAAATGGTAACGGGAAAAAAATCCAAGTTAACTTTCTTTAATATACTCTATTATCGCTTGAAATGTGGCCTTTTGAAACATCATTAAAGTATTTTAGGTTGTCCTTATTTGCCACAAAAAGCCACAGTATTTTTTCCAGGTTGGTCAGGACAAGGCGGTATTAAACAATTATTGAATACCTGCTTGGTCAGACTCAGATAATACGCTAGCTTTCTTGACTATTTTGATAATCGTACCTGGGCCCAATGAACCATATCCTGTACGCTGGTGCCGGCTGGACAGTGAGTGTAATAAACTGGGAGACGCGTCTAGAGAAAGGAAACACAAAATAAATATCAGGGGTTGCATTCATTCATTGAAATGAAACCCCTAGAAATGTTAATATAGTAGGCCTACAGTGCTGTAAGACTCAGGCTTCATGTCGAACTTATGATTTCTCTAGTTCTGGATAGGAAAACTTTGGGGTTGTGTAGGACCAACAGTAGGCCTAGTTTAGCCCGGGTTTATGTATAAATACTGTATTGACATGAGGGAAAAGTGCGAAGGCGATGAAAAAATTAGAAGGGTGAATGAGGTGATGAGATGATTTTGAACTACTTTAGTGTATTTTTAGCCTTGGTAAGGTGGAAAGGGTGGTCGCCTTTTTCCTAATAAGCCACATTGCGTAAAGCAGATTGGGATTGAAAACCATGGTTGTTCCGGTTAATAATGGCTGGGGACTTTTGTGTAGGCCTATAGAGCATTGTGCATTGTATGTATGCACTGCACTATTTCATTTCATTTAATTTTTTTTTCATTTCATTGCTTTAGGCAAGAGCGTCAAGGATATGCCAATAAGTGAACTTAATCGCTACCCTATGTGGCATATACGCAGGGGACTGAATGGACCAATACACCGGGATAACCCCCTACTCTTCTCGAAGAATGTACTAGGTTCTTTAAAATGCACATGAGACGAATGTGTACACTGGGTTTAAAGTCCTTATCCGAGAAGACTTGTTCCAGCACCTGAACCATTGGCGAGTGAGCCGTTCGAATAAGCGCCGATATTATAGCTGAAGGTTACGGTGCCCCTGACTTAACCGCTTAGCAAAACAACTCGCACAAATGTTGTCAACTATGTTATCATCTGCAAACAATTAGTAGGGATTTATTACCTTGTTTAGGTTTTTCTCATCGTAGCCACACAATACAAAAATGATATTACTACAAAACAGGTCAGCATCAGGGTCGTCACAAAAGTCCTCTGCAATCAAGTCAATAAACTCCGAGTTTGGTAAAAAATCTTTAACCCCGAGTATATCAAAAAGAAACTGAAATAAGATAGGACCTTAGCTTCATGAA